TGGTTTGTCTCCTTTTCATATCTCAAAACACTTGGACCTTCAATCAGCACATGCATTAGCACACCTTTTTCTGTTTCAAATAATAATACTACACGAAAATATCCTATTGATAATAATCTCTCATTATATACACAATATTGCACTATGATTGAAGCTAAACGTCAAGGTGAAAAATACAGGCTACTACGACACTACTCAGCTGTTTGGTCATCATGTTATTCTAATGATTATTTAGTTCAACTCTATGTAGCTGATTTAGATATATATAATGATAAGAAAATGGTATTTATCAATGTCGGTGCAAATAAAGGATATACAATTGCTACTTGGTTGTCACTTTGGATGCCGCATATTGGTATTAATCCTCGAGTTTTAGGTCATTATTTACGCACTAAAATAAACTTAAATGATTGTGGTGCATGTGATGATTGTCGAGAAGAAGGTTTTTTAGAGTTTAACTCGAGTCTACGTATTAACAAGGCTATTGAAATATATGCATTTGAACCGCAACCAAAAACATATGAAATATTGACACAAATAAAACAATGGATGAATGCATCATTTATGTATATATATCAAACTGCGTTAGGTAATCAAACCGCAATTGGTTCTTTACAAAAATGCCCTCCAGGAGGCGAAGTCTGTGGATTAGAAACAAACGCTAATATAACATCTGAAAACTATATTGCAACAAAAGTTACAACTTTAGATAAATTTTTAGAAGAGCAAAATATTACAGAAAAAATCGATTTATTAAAAATTGATACCGAAGTTTTTGATCCATTAGTTATTCAAGGTGCAAAAGATAGTCTAAATCGACATCAAGTAAGACTTTTTATCTTTGAATATCATGGTATTGGAATGTGGCCAACAACAACTCTTTATCAAGTGGTAATGGATCTCGAACGCAAAGATTATGTATGTTATAAAATAGGTCAGACTGGTATATTACGTGTCACTGGTTGTTGGTCATCGGTTTTTGAAATAAAAACTTGGAGTAATGTTCTATGTATATCAAGACGTGAACCAAGATTAATTTCATTTATTGAAAAACTACTTATCCCATTTTAGACACATCTTGTTTTTTTTTTCTAATAAACTCGATAATTATTGTTTTGAAATCTATATCAATTAGTTTAAACGAGTTTTAGAAGTTTTTCTAAAAACAAATTGATACATTTTATTCATTTATGTCTATTTCGTACTATCTGGTGAAAGGTACAAAAACTACTGATTAATTTACTCAAGCATTTTGTTCGATCATTGATTAGTATCTTTTCAGTATAGTCAAAGAATTGCGTCATGTTACATACATGTGTTGTTGTCAATCAAATTTTTTTTGCTTTATGTACTTACAAGTGATGCATGAATTTCATTTCAAAGAAGAATGAAACAATGTTAATTTCATACCATCAACAAGAAAGAAACACATGTGGTGGTCATCAATATTCTTATTAATTTTTCTTTTAATTCAAAAGATTCATCGAGGTTAAAAGATTCTTGTGTTGTTGTTTTTTTCATTCTAATAAGTTTATTTTTTATTTTTAATTAGGATCTGGTGAATATTTACAAACAATTATTGTTCAACCACAATCAATAGAAGTTCCAGTTGGCGAAACAGTTACTCTTGATTGTACTGTATTTAATCAATATGGCGAAGTTGCTTGGTAAATTATAAACATTTCGAAACTTTAATATATCTATATATCTATTCAAACAATAGGTGTAAAGATGGTCATTGTACAATGGGTCGAGAGCGACCATTATATTTCATTCCTCGATATGAAGTTATCGGTGATAGGCAAGCTGGTATGACAAAAGAAAAAAACAATTTTTTTTTTCTTTCTAATAATAACATGTTTTATAATTTTTCTTAGGCATAAATAGTTTAAAAATTCAAAATGTTAATCTTGATGATGATGGTATATATCAATGTCAAATTGGTCGAACTGTTGAAGCTCGTGAAGTTCTTTCAAATTTTGCTAATTTAACTATTCTTATTCCACCAGATCAAATTTCTCTAACATATGTACCACCTGGTATAGCTATTAGTGGAAAAGAATTTAAATTAAAATGTGAAGTACTTAATACACGACCAGCACCAATATTTACTTGGCAAATACCACCAAATACACATATTGTAAATATATCACAAGAAAAAGAACCTATGACACCGAATAGTAAATTACTTAAATCAATATCAATTATAACACTTATTGCTGATATTAATCAACATGGACAAGAAGTAACATGTGAAGCCACACATATAGCATTAAATAAATCATTAACATCAACAGCAATAATTGCTATTGATTGTAAATTTTAGTTTATTTCGATAGTTCAATTATTAAATTTAATGTTTTTTTTTTCTCTTTGTTTTATTTAGATTCACCTGTTGTTAAGATAATTTTAAAACCAACAAAAATGTATGAAAATAAAGATTATTGGTTTGAATGTATGGCTGAAGCTCGACCATCAATTACTGAACTTGTGTATGTATGATAATAAATTAGATTGATTTTTTTAATATATAAATTCTTTTACAGTTGGAAAACAAATGATACAATACTTCAACGAATGCCACCTATGCCCGATGGTAGATATCCTTTGCATTTAACTGTTACACGTCAAATGCATAATCAATATCTATCATGTTCAGCAATAAATAGTGCTGGAATATCAGAAGATATAGTTATTCTTAATATTAATTGTATGTGATTGATATTCTTGTGTTTTATATTAAAAAAAAGACTCTTGCTTTTTTTGTTGCAAATAGATTCACCTAAATTTAATTCATTTCCTTTACCTTATACACTTGTTCATTTGGGTGATCCATTAATACTTTCATGTGATGTTGATTCAAATCCACCAGCAAATATACTTTGGACTAAAAATGGAGAATTTGTTGGTGGTGGAAGTCAATATCAAATTCCTGAAGTACATGAAAATGATTATGCTCTTTATGCATGTATAGCAACACTTGGAGGACAATTTACTAAAATTGTAGCATCAACTAAAGTTGTTCCACCTGGTATAAATATAGACGTTTTTTTTCTTTTATTTCTTCATATGTTTTTTTTTATTCTATAGGACCACCACGTTTTTACCCTCCACAATCAGTTCTTGCTTCTAAAGGTTCAGAAGTTATGCTTAAATGTCAATTAGAAAAAGATATTGAACCAAATGTATGTTACATCAATAATTTTATAATTTTTTATTATTCTATTCTAAATATTTTAATTTAGAATACATTTTGGATATTTAAAAATGTAACACTTATGAATAGTATGAAATATACAATAGTACCAGCACGTGATGTTAAAACAATACCTCGTTATGAATTAGGTTTAATTATACATGATGTACAAGCAAATGATTTTGGTGAATATGAATGTCATGTTACAAATCAATATGGAAGTGAATATGCTCGTCTTCGTCTTGAAAAACGAAGTATATATTTTTGTTTTTTCTTTTTTAAATTCTAAATAAAATTTATTAACATCTTTTTTTGTTTGTTTTTGATTTTTTTTTATTAGGTAGCCATCTTATCATGCAAATCGCTATTTATTTTGGTTTACTTGTTTTACTTAGTTTAATTTTATTTTCTTCATATTTATGTTGTCATCATGCTTGTCGAGTAGATCAAAGTATTATAATAAATAAGACTTGTTTTTTGTTGTTTCATTGATATTTATTATTGATAGAACGTATAACTATGCGTCAAATGCGACGAGTTCAAACTTGGTTAAAAAGTAAACCAAGTATGTGGATTCATAATTTAGCAGCAGCGGAAAAGGTTGTTGATTCTTTTTTTTTTTTAATTATTTGTTGACTTGTACCTTGCTCTTTTTTTTTCTTCTTTGATAGATTCCATTAACTGTCTATGATGTAAACTCAGGTGTAACGCGAACAACACTTGATCCACCCGTTGATATTGTTGAATGTTATGTGTCGATGATGGATGAACAGAAACGTAATAATTTTGATCGACCTTTGTTACCACCACCTCCACCACCACCACTATCATCTCTAATGGATCGAATGCCTTTTTGTAATGATGATCAATCAGAACAAATCTATGAAACAGCTGATCCAATTTCATGGCATATTGATGTTTAAGAATTTTCCTTTTTTCTATAGACTAAAATTAATGTTGTACATGTGTTTTTTTTTCTTTCATTTTTTTTTGTTTTTAAACAACATATAATTATATGAATACATATACACTCCATTCATGCTTTCCTTTTCTTGTGAAATAACAAATAAGAATAATAACTAAATACGAATCGGAAAATGCGCGCATACTAAAGATTTTATCTGTACGCACAAGAATACACACATTTACAAACAATAATCAGATAAAAGACAATTTATATACTATTGGAAAAGAAGAAGTATATTAGCTGATAGTTTATTGTAGACCAAAATCCGACCGACACCTCTTTCACATATATGTATATATAATAATAAATATAAATACATTGTATTCTTTTTTTCTATCAATATCAATATATTCTGTGTCTGTCACTCTCTTTCACTTGCTTCACACACTTAACAACATTCAAAGAAGAGAAAGAGTAATTTGAACAAAGAATCAGAACAAACAAAAAAAAAGAAGAAGAAAAAAAAAGAAAAACGAGAAACAACAGTAAAAATAAAATAGCTGCTGCAACAGCTGCTCGCAAACGTACATGAAACAAACAGAAAACAAAAAAAGAAGAACGTTGTTTATACGTATTATATATGTAGATTATATTTCTATGTCAGCAAAAATGAAACCGATAAATTAGAATTTTTTGTTTTTGTAATCAATAGCCTAATGGCTAACCAACAACATTTAACAGTGCAAACAACAACAGATAAATCAAAAAAAGAACGAAAAGAAGAAACCGAGCCCATACGTATACATTCAAATAGATAGAGATGAAAAGAAGAATAGATATTAAAAAAGAAAAAGAAAAGAAAACATTTTTTTTTGTTGTTTTGAAATTATTTCACTGTTATTTTTTTATGCCGGGAGAAAACGGAGAAGAAGAAGAAAAGGCATTATCAACTGATATTGATGAACCATTATTATATTTTGAATACATAAAATTAGCAAATATGGCTATAAATATTGCTAATAATGTAAAACCAACAAATATAACAATAGCCCATTGTTGATCAGTTAATGTTCGACTTTCAAATAATTGTATAGATTTTAATTTACGATTTAATAATAAACGATAACGATTTATAAATGAAAGTTTTTGTTCTAGATGATAATCATCATTTATTGAATGATTATGTGAGGTTTTTGATACAGATAAAACTGCAGCTAAATCTTCAGGTCGAGGTAAAACAAAATGTGTTGCAGGACTAAACTGACTATTTAATGTTAAACCTTCACTTGTCGAACGTATAGCACAAACACGTACACGATAATCAACACCAGCTTCTAAATTCGTTGCACGATATGATGTTGATTCACCATGATAGATTTCTGTATAATCATTTTCTTTTCGATAAATTTGTAATTGAAGAATATAACTTATTGGATCTTTACCAAGTGGTTTATGAGCTTGCCAATTAAATACACATGATGTTGAAGTTATTTCATTGATATTTGGAGCTACAAAAAACAAACAAACAAAATTGTTAATGCAATCCCTATAGGATTATAATGTGAAACATTATGTAGCTTCTTAGTGATATATATAGTCTCTCATCATAGATCTATATCTTTTACGACCTATGGTGTGATGACGAGAGCATAGCTCAAGTGTCTGTTGTGGTCTCTATGGAGAAGGTCGAATTTACAAAAGGCAACTAACAAAAAAAAACAAAATTATAAACCTTTTAATGCATTTGGTGGTGCTTTAGTTGTTGTAAATGTATAAATTTCTGACCATGGGCCAGCACCTGAATCATTTTTTGCACATATACGAAAATTATATTGAGTATTTTCTTGTAATTTATTTATTTTATGTGAATATGTTGTACCGGTATAAATACAATTAAAACTATGACAGAGAAAAAAAAAAAGAAACAATATTCATTTTATAATTCATAATTGTTAGTTGCTTAACTTACTTTCCATCTTTTCCTTCCATTTCAATAATATATGATATGGAACGAGGAGTTATTGTTGATGATTCTGTTGATGATAGAGTATGATTAGCTGTACCATTACCCCATTTTAATTTTATTGAATTACACGTTATAGCAATACATTCAAGTCTTGGTGGATCTGGTGGTAAACTTTTTGTTTGACATTTAACTATTGATGAATATGGACCAGGTCCTATAGTATTTATAGCTCGTATACGAATTCTAAAAAAAAAGATAATTTTCAATCAGATAATATCTAATAAAATGATAAAACAAAAGAACTAACCTGTAAGTTGTATCAGGTAATACTTCATCAATAGTATATTCATTAAATTCTGGATTTACAAAAATAAGTTCTTTTTCACCAATATCAATATAATAACCAGTAATAGGTGATCCATTATTTGCTGGTTCTTTCCATGTTATTGTCATTGATGTAGATTTTGCATGTACTTTTACTGAAGTAACAATTGATGGAGCAGCTGCTGATGTAACACATGATGCTAACATACTATATGGACCAGGACCAGCTGAATTAACTGCCTAGACAACAATAAATAAAAATCAAATATTTTGCATATTAAAAAAAAAAAGAAAACAAATGTTGTTTTTTTTGTTTACTTGTACTCGAAAAAAATAATGTGTAACCGGTATAAGACCTTTAGCTTCATATGTGCAATTTGTTCCACAATAAAGTTGCATAAATGAATCATTTTCTTTTCGTGACCATTCAAGACGATATTCAGTTATAGCTGCACCATTATTAACACCTTCTTCCCAACGTATTAAAGCACTATTTGGATTCTGACATTCAACAACAAAATTTCGTGGTGCTTCAGGTACACCTGGACCAGATAGAATATCAAGATATTCTGACCATGGACCAGCCTTTAAAAAGAAAATAAATACATGATTTCTTTTTTTTAATTTCAAAGAAAACTTACTCCTGCTCGATTAAATGCACGAACTTGAAATAGATATGGTCGACCAGGTAATAAACCACCAACAGTACAATCAAGATCACGTCCACGATAAACAATACGTGATGAACTATCAGGATTTGTTACTTGAACTTCAAAATCAATTATTGGTGAACCACCATCATAATCCGGATATGCTAAATAATGATGGATTATAAAAAAAAAAAAAAGAATTTAAGTATATATTTGAAAAACGTTTGTGTTTGAAAGGATTAAAACACATCAAATTAGAGATGTGTAGGGTAAACTTTTTTGTAACTTTTATCCGAAATGAAAAAAATTTTCTAACTCATATCCAATCTTGCATATCTTTACTGCAAAATTCATCGCCTTTATTCGAATATTCATGCAATACAATGTTCGTGATGAAAATTTCTTTAATTGACTGAAAATTCAATAAAATAATCATAATTCAAGAAGAAAGTACTATATGGCTCATGTCCTCTTATGATGACTATAGACTCTAGCAATCAATGAGTTTCTTGGGGAGACAAAAATTGACTTTTTTTTTAGATTCTTCTTTTTTATAGGCAAAAACAAATTCATCAATTAAAAATCATTACCCCAACGAAGATGTAATGAATTTGCTTTTGGTTTTCCGGAAATTTTCGGTGGATGACAAGAAGCTGGTGCAACAGCTGGTGTTCGTATTTGTGTTATATCTGATGGATCACTATGACCACCAGCACTCGAACATGATAAACGAAGAGAATATGAATGTCCAGGTATAAGTTGTTCTAGTAAATATTCTGTATCCAAACCATTATAAATAACATGAAAACCTATGAAATCAAAAGAAATTTTATTAGAATATGTTAGTTTTTTTTGTATTGTTTTTTAAATATCAAAACATGACGAAAAGGAATAACAATTTATTATTTTTCTACCTACCATCTTCAGCTAATATAAAAATAAAAAAGTTAAAATTTATTTAAAAAAAAAAACAAAAAAAATTCTTCTTTTTTCTTTCTCTACCTTTTGATTCTTCTAATTCAAGATGATATTGTTGAATTTCTGCACCGCCATTATCTCTTGGTGGATCTTAAAAATTATTTTATTATAAAAACAAATAAACAAGAATTAAATTTTTGTTTTTTCATTACCCCAAACAATACGACATTGTGTTGCTTGTATATGTCCTTTTATTCTTGGTTTAGCTGGTGGATCAGGACGATCAGGTAATGTTCTATATGTTGCTATTGGAGAATAATTACTTTGACCTTCTTGATTATGTGCTGCTAACTATATAAAAACAAAGAATATTATTGTCTAAAGTTAAAAAAAAAAAAAACTTTAATTACTCGAAATTTATATTCAGTATTTCGATATAAATCAGTAACTGTATAGGTACATAATGGACCTGTATATTTATTTCGAAAATAATTTGATTCATCATTCATTTGTAATGTAAATGTTTCATCAATTGGTCGTTTTATCCATGATAATGTTAAATATTTAACACTTTTTTCACATAACATTGGTGGATCAGGTTCAGGTGGAATTGTACCTAATGTACTAAATTGAATTGTGTCACTAAATTCACTAAACAGAAAAAATAAAATACATAAGAATGAATTTGACTTTTTTTTTTTCTTCTTTGTACCTTCGTCCAATACTGTTCTCAGCAGCCAAACGAAAAGCATAAAATGTTGCCGGAATTAATTTATTTAACATAAATTGTTTTTTTATACCACGATATATTTCAATAAATTCTCGGCCTTTACCCTAAAAAGAAAAACAATAATAATAACTAGGTATTAATTATAATTTATGATAGTTGCTAAAAGTGACACTTAGATATGTAAGCCGATAGACTTAGTGCCGCGATAGGAAAATAGTTACGTGTTTTTTTTTTATAATTTCCGACGCCCAAAAATCAATTTTAGAATATATTACCGACCATTTTATTGTCATTAAATTCTCTAGAATTGTTTCCTGTCTTTTCCATTTCAAAATTTTACTTGTCACCGCGGGCGATGAACTCATCGATTTACGAGTCTAGTTGTACTACCAGATGAAAAGTATTTAAATTTGAACTGTTTCATCTGACATTTTTATTACAAAGCGAGCTCAGTAAAACTTGATCGCAAACACCAATCCAAGATCAATTGGGTTTCGTGTATATAATTTAGATATAAAAATACTAATTTTGTTATCTTTGGACATCAAAAACAAAAAAATTTTTTGTGGAACAAATTTCTGATTTGTCAATATTAATATACATTCTTTTATTGATAAATAAAATTTCACATGTTTTTATTGTGTCAAAAATAGGAGACTCTAATTTCCTGTGAACTTAAACTCTAGCGACCTTTCTTTGATTTGAAAGAGATCGTCGCATAAATCTCAGCCTTATCAATGTCTATTATCATGAAATAATTATCGGATTAGAGCAGAGAATCTACTCAGAGAAAATTGCATAGAAAATAGTCAGAATTGCAAACTACTTTTTTGATGAATATCATCAAGTTTTATACTAAGAAGATTCAAAGATAATATTATAAATTAGGCTATTGACGTGAAACCATCTTCATCGATGATTGTGACAAAATTTAAGCTCTTCAACGAAGGATAAAAACTTTGAAATTAGCTATTATTTCTAAAATACCTCTGTCTGTATAAAGACTTGATGCCGACTCTTCTGGCTCGTACTCTTATTTGTGATCAAAATACAAGAACAAAAGATTTGTGTCTAGAATAGTTTTTATCTGATAGCGAAACTTTTGACGACTACAGTAAAATAAAACTATGAATACAAACTTCATCATATTCAAGAATATAATTCAAAATTTTTGATCCATTATCATTTGTAGCTGTCCATTTTAATGTTAAAGAATTTTTTAGTCGACTACCAAGTAATTTTGGTGGTAGAGGTCTATCAGGTTCACATTGTTCAGTAGTAAATGGAACTGGATTTGTATATTCACCTTTACATGAATCAATACATGCACATACTCTAAAATTTAAAATTAAATATGTATTTAATAAAAACAACAAATGAAATTTATTTTAAAATTTACTTTAAATGATATTCAGTAGCTGGTTTCAGATCTTTTAAAGTTATTTCATTGGCATCACCACTAAAAAGAATTTATTTGAAATTACAATATATTAAATCATTATCAAAAAAACTGTCATGTTTTTTAACGAAGAAATTTTTCCCACTAGAAAATATCTTTTGACTGCGCGTATAAATTAGATAATAGACGACATGAAATTGTTAAAAAAACACAAGATTCTTAAATCTTCCGTGCAATATGAGTGGTTATTGAGAATTTAATATCTCCTGAAGGAAACATTCTTTTAGTGCTGCAAATTCTTAAGATGTTCTCGTTACACATAAACTTATCAATGAACGATGTTTCAAGTCAAAATATACTTATTCGATTCTTTTGTATATAGCATGCTAGAAGTTAAAATCTCCGTGAAACTGCTATAATGCTGTAGAGAATGCCTCGGAGTCTTATTCTATTTTAATACTTCATTGAAATCTACCTTAAGCACAGAGCTCGAACTCAAAAGTGATTTTCAAATGGAAAAGATTCCCTCGTAGGAAATTTTCCATTAGTTTAGTTTATGTGAATGATTTTTCTTTTTTGCTAATAAAAAAAAAAAGACGAACACAATGATATTATCATATGTCGATAATAAAAATGATAAATAGGTTCTTTCTATTTTCAAGAAAGCTTTTCTTCTGCTTATAAATTCATATGATGTATTAGAAGAAAAATTTCTATTAAACATACCAATAAACTTGTTTATATTTGGCATCTTTGCCTTTATCTGACAATAATAATTCGTAAATAAGATTAGTAAAATCAATGGAATAATCCGATTGAGGTGATGTTAAATTTGGAGGTTGTATTCTTACTAATGCACTTCGACTTTCAATATCTTGAATCTTTAATCAAAATAAAAAACGTGTTTTTTTTTTTTTGTTGAAAATCTTCGAACAAAAGATTTTTCGTTTCTTACAATTGGTGGAGATAATTTCGATAAACATTTTTCAATTGTTTGTCGTTCTTTATCATATTCAGCTGCAGCAGCTAAATCAACAGGTTCAGTTGTTGATGGAACAACCATTTCGGAATAGAATGGTGAATAATGTGTTGGTAATGGTGGATGATGATGATGATGATGATGATGTTGTTGTTGTTGTTGTTGTTGTTGAGATTTATCAGAACCATCTAAATTATTAAAGATTTTTTTTTTTAAATAGAAATAAAAATAAAATATAATTTGAACAAAAAAAAAAACAAAACAAAACATTCAAGTTAACTTACTCATGCTAATATTATTTACATATGAATTTGTATTTGTATGAGATTGTGGTATACGTCGTTTTTGTCCACTAATATTTAATGTTCGTGTATGAGATGTTCCGCCTGTTGTTGTACAACTATTCGTATTTGTATTATATACAGGTGAACGACGTTGTTGATTATTTGTTGAATTAGGTGTTGTTGTTATTATAGATGTATTACTACCTCCTGTTGTCGTCGTTGGCGAACTATTGCTTTCAGATGGATGTAATAGACATTGTGAAGCTGAAAAGACAAACAAGAATGATCATTGACAAAAAAAAAATCATCATTGCCATTTGTGTTTTTTTTTTATTTCATACGATTTGTAGGTGATGATGTATGATTACAAGCAGAACGTGGAGGATATGTTAATGTATCTCCTGTATATGGTCCATATACATTTGGATTATGATATCGATGTGGATGACCATAAAGTCCATTGTATGGTGATGGAGAATAACCGGTATGCTATGAAATAAAATAAAAATATTCATAATGAACTTGTATAAATTTTCATTTTACCACATGATGATGAGGAGGTGGTGGTGGAGGTGGCGGTGGTGCTGGTTGTGACATAATAACATGTGTCAGTACACCATTCTCGTCAAGAACTTGTTGAACCATATGTCCAGGTGGTAAATGTAATGGTAATGGAAAAGCTGGTCCGTTCTCTGAGATCATTCTCACTGTTGCAGGACCTAAATAAGAAAACAATAACAAATGAATGTCATGTAAATTATTCATATATATATATATATCAAATGATGTACATGCTTGCATTTTGTTTCGTCTATATGACGAACAAATCAAATATTACCAATATTATCCTTAACATAGAATGCTTGACCGACCTGCTATATCTTTGTCACCATAGATGTGACACATGCCTGTCAGAATTCTACAAGGAACAAAAATACAGAGAGAGGGAGCGGGGTGAATGACATAAATTGTCCGATTTCTCTCTCTCTTTCTCTTTCTCTCGTGTTTTATTCAAGGTACAGAACACGAACAAAAGGTCGTTGATATTATATTTATATACATCTATTGAAAGATAAGTAAAGAAAGAAGAAGAAGAAGAAGAAGAAATTACCAGCTGTTTGTCGTAACTGATCATGATAGAAGAAAAACGAACAACAAGAAAGATGAAACTATTATAACAATCGAAGAATAATTATATATTGAAGATAATCTTTATCTAGGCACTGTTGTTCTTCAATAGTTCCATTAGTAAGAATACGATGAGTCGTCGTACATTCTTTTTCTTTTTTTTTTTCTTTCTATATAAAAGAAAATTATTGTTGATATTTCTACATCTCTGGTGGTCAAATCATCGACGGCAGCCACGCGCAATCCACATCAATCATAATCACGCCTTTCTCCTTCATTCGCTTTCCTCTTCAGAGGCTATAACGAACACAATATTATGATGATGAATCACACACATACACATACACATACATATGCATATACATGTAAGAGAACGAGAAAGAACGACTAGTAGAATAATTGAACTTTCTCTGTTCGATTTAGAGAACAAAAAAAAAACAACAACCATGAACATAAGAGAAAACTCCGTTTTTTTTCCTTGCTTTCATATGTCGACATTAAGATGAGACAATGTCAAAGAATGTGAAGAAAAAATTACATCTAATCAAAAGAGTAAAAGGTCATTTGAAAACCTACTCGACTGCTGAGGTTGCTGCCCTGATGATTGAGCAGCAAGCCATAGATGTAATTGATCATGACTGGACGTTGTTGACGATGATGAGGATGAATGTATTTCATTACTACCATTCGAATTACTATTATTATTATTATTATTATTATTATTATTATTATTATTATTATTATTAGGATTAAAACGAAAACGATGATGATCAAAAAGATACTGTTGTTGTTGTGGTTGTGGTTGGAAATATTGTTGAGATAGATTTGGTGGTGAAGGTGTTGCAGTAACAAGTAAACGTTGATGTTTTAATGAATCGGGTGAAGAAGTATTCGATGAACAAGATGATGTTGTTGGATAGAATCCATTTGTTGAAAAACATCCCGTATCATACATATTTCGTCAAATAATATTTTAAGGACAAAATACAAAAAAAGAATACATACAATAGATGATAAATAATTAATATTGATTATTATGATGATTATTATAATTATTATTGTTATTCTTGTTGTTGTTGTTTTTTTGTTGACAATCAACCAATGACAATGACTATCTTTTGACAGGATGATATTCTCTGCATGCATGCGTCTCGGCCATAGGTCGTAGTTGTCCAATGTGCAATGCTGCAGTATGTATGTGTGTACTCTGGCTCGTCGTTCTTTTTTTCTTTTTCCTCTTCTTTTCTTCTTCTTCTTCTTCTCGCTGTCCATACAATTAGAATAACTGTAGAACGAGCGACAACGAACACACACACACACACATATATATATATATATATATATATATATACGTGCACAACAAAAAAAATAACGGAACACTCATTGTTGGCACTACCCTGTTCGCTTGTTCTCGTTCGCCTCCAGTAGCATACTTTTTCTTCTTGTTCTTTTCTCTCAAACTTCCCATTTATTTAGTGGCGTGCGGCGCATGAAAATAAACACAAACGAACATACAATAGTTGAACTACTACCAACTAATGGTGATGTTTGTTTTCGCGAAAGATTCTTCTCTATACTAGAACAACATAGAAGAAAGAAAAAAATAGAATATGAACAATGCGTACACATACAAGTATTCATACAACCGACTATCAGATATGCTATATATATATGCGTCTGTATATATATATATTTGTCCTTACCAATGGCAAAGAACTTATTCATTGATAAAGAATGAGAAAGAAAGAAAGAGAAGAACCTATTACAAAGACTTTATCCATTACTAATTGTAAAAAAAGACCTTGTCATTTGTCACTTTAGATACGCCTAACATCCTAGACTTTAAGCACTAACTACAGATGAATAATAAATAGAAAATGATAGCTTAAACGCAATAAATATACTTCATTGATCAATGAATAAGAAATATGTATTGAGTAGTATTTGACATCATATATTTTCAATTGTATTTTATTTATTAATGATAGATTTAAATAGATATGACATACAAATAATGTGATAAGGTATGAATAAAATTTTTTTGTCATTTGATAATATAAAATATTTTTTAGGACTTCTTTTGTTTTCTTCTTTAAAACCAAGAATTACTATGTTTTCTATGTTATGTTTGATTAAATAAATAATATAATAAAATAATAACAATATTAATATCCGGATCAATAATGTCTTTTCTTTTTCTTGTTTTTTTATTTAATTAATAAAATAAGAAAATTTACTTACCATGTACTTCTTTGACTTCATTATCAACTTGAACACGAAAAATTTGTCCAGGTTTAACAAGTATTCGAGCAATAGATGAACGTGATGTTCCTAATGGTAAATCAGATGATGTTGCTTCTGTAAATGAAGCTTCTGCGGTGATCATATTTGTTGATTGTATCTTATTTGTTTCTGATGTTTCATCAATTGTATTATCAGTTGTAATATCAGTTTGTTCTGATTCTGAATTTGTTACTGGTTCTTCAATTTTTTCTTCTGAGATAATAATATCAGATGGTACTATTGATGATGATGATGAAATGATATTTTTATCATGATCATCAATATCATTCGACTGTTCGGATGAATTTAATGTAGAAGTCATTTATGAATATTTTGTTAATTAAACAACGATAAATTTACAAGAATAAAGTAAAATAACGTCGACGACGACGATGATGATGATTATGAAAAACCATCCAAATCATCTAAAACAATATATAGGATAAAGAATAATTTGTAATCATGATGTATAAAACAAAAAACAAAAAAAGAAAAAAGAAATCAGACATCGTTTGTGTTGAACTTTCTTCGTCATCATCATCTTCATCTTTTTTTTCCTTCTTCTATTTCCATTTTTTTCCTCTTTTTTTTTTTTTCTTTTTTTTTCCTCGTATTCCTCCTGAATGATGAGAACATATAGACATACAAAAAATCTCATGCATGTTGTTCTAGTGAATGACAACATCAACTAATCAAAAGCGAAAAAAGAAAAGAACCTTTAGCGATGACAATCAACCATGGGCAACTAGTCAACATTAAAGAGGTTTTACGATAAATGATGGAGTGTTGTAGGCGGAACGTGACTTCAATATATTTTTTTCTATTAAGTCTTCGATACTTTTGCTCTTTCTCTCTCTTTCTCATTCTCTTGTTCTTTTTTTAAATAGATCGTTAGTTTGAACAATATCCTTCAAATTGTCATATGTTCGATCAAGACTAAAAATGCTATTGAAACGGTGTTGTCAATGCTTTTCTATAGTGCTTTCTATGTATGTTTATGTCAATATTTTTATTGAGATTCTCTTCCAATCATGGTTTTGCATTGTTTCTCTCTCTTTCTCTGTATTCTTGCTTTTATTCATCATTACTCTCTTTCTCTTCAAAAACACATAAAAACGATCACGATAAAGAAAAAAAAATAAGAATACAAAATGCCGAAAAAAAAGGAGGAAAAAGAAGACTAAGCAAAGATATAAAATAAAGCGAAGGAACAACTCACACTGAACATAGTTACTACTCGACTCATATTTCCTTCCTATATGAAGTTACTATTTGTTATTCTTATCGTTCGCAATATGTTTCTGCTATTTGACTACACGAAACATGTAAACAAACAGATGTTGAAGTAGTATATTGGCATCGAAACCAGAAAAAAAAAACATATGGTCTTTGCACCACTTACTGTCATCTCATATAACATTGACAATAATATGATTTCCACCTCTGCAAACCTTTGAATTTTTCATTCTTGTTTTACATATTAATAAATATGTATTTGATTTAGATTATATTAAATGTAAAAATTATAAGAAGAAAAACAAATGCAAAGAAAAAAAAAGTACCCATAATCAAATATATCGACAAGTAGTTTCTTGTTTTCGTCCATATCTTACTTTCTGTTTTTCTTTCTTTTCTTTTTTTTGTTCTTGAAAATAATAATAACTAACAGATGATTACCAGTCTTGTATCTAAACATAGTATTAATCTAACTAACATATGATCAATGTTTGTTGCCTGTTAACTAATAAAAAAAAAAAAAAGCAAGAAGAAAAACAGAAAATCGAAAGAGCTACGTCAGTTGAAATAGCACACTCACACATATACATTCAAATTAGATTAGACTATCCAATTACTTTCTCTTCTATTTTTTTATCTATGATAATAATAAAAAAAAACACATAGAAAGAAAAAGGACTTTATTTCTATATAAATGTCTATTAATGTGTCACATTGGCTAGTACATCGACAGACTTACATTCAACCTATACCAAAAAAATGAGATAAATATGAAAAATAGTCTGCCATAGAATGAAAGTATGTCACGTAGGTGTTGGCTCCTGTCGTTTGTGTTCTCGCTAAAAGATTGTTAGGTTGTTCAGGAAACGAGAAAGAGAGAGGACGCACATCTCTCTTTTGTATATTGCCGAACCGGCATAGAAGAGTTATTGTTTGCTAGTAGGAAAAGCGATGACGCGAAAAAGAGAGAAAGAAAAGAATATATATATGTAAAAAAAAAAAAAAAACTTGCATGCCACTCTGTGTTCTGTTCTACTAACTAGTTCGCAGTCGAAAGACCTTAATGTTGCACCATACAATGTGAATGCAAAGACTTGATAATCATAATAGAAGACGGAATAAAAAAAAAAAAGGGAGAAGAAAAAGGCTTCCAATAGAAGAGTGGGTGGATAGATGGTTGAAAGAAATAAAAACGGAAAATAGACGACAGAGAAACATTTCTATTAATAATATAGTCATGAAATAATTTAAACATTAGCAATAAAAAAAGAAAAATCTTTCTTTGTAATTAAATATTTATTTCATTTATTCATATTTTTATTTTACTAGTAGAATACTCTATATTTCAATTTTATTTGAAATGTTAAATTATTTTAATTTTAACACTTGAATAGATTTTTTTTTCAATGATTATATTCATCACGATATTTTCTGGGCATTTTTGACATTATAATAAATATAAACATCAAGTCTTTTCCTGAAGGTATATAAAATAATTCAGTTGACAAATCTTTTTTTCATTTTTTTTTTTTTACAATTTTAATATTAGAAAATTTAATCTATGACTATTTCTTATGAAATTATATTTCAAATAAAAGATTTTCTTCTCTATGAATCAATTGTTTTTGTTTTTTTTAATGAGTAGTTTTTACCTTTGAGAAAATAAAAAGATTTGTTGATTTTTCGATGCCTGTTTATTTGCTAATGAATTAAAAAAGATTATTTCTATCTGAAAGTGATTATTCTTGCTACGGAAACCGATAGTTCATTCCGTGACAAGAAATAAATAATTAATAAATAAAAAGGAAATAATCAAATGAATTTAACCTTGAAATCTAAATACAAAATTGATATATTAATACGAACGAATTTATTTATTTTTATTTTTGGCTTTATTTACTATTCATTGGCCATTTGAGGTTTGCCATTCACACAAAATAAAGGTGTCGCCAAAGGTTATATAGAACTTTCAAGTTAAACTCATTATATTAATTTACCAAAAAAAAAAATACTGAGTGATATATGAGTAGAATTTATATTGAAATATCAGTATGTTAATCAACCATATTTTTTTCTTCTATTCTGTTCTTTTAGATAGATAATAAACACCATAAATATCGTTATCTTTTCTTCCGACACATTTAGGTACAATCTAGTAAATCTTGTTTTTTTTTTCTACGGATCTTAATCTGATATATTTCAGTGTTATGTTTTTTGATTATTTGCTTCTTATTCTTGCTTTCATTAGATTATTTTTCAAAGAAGTTCAGTGAAACACTGATTGTACTTGAAAAAAAATATCAGGAGATTTCTTTTCTTTTTTTTTCTTTTTACCCTTCATTAAACCTCTGACTTTAGTAGTCCTGAAGGGACATATTATTAGCATACAATGAGACTACGTTAATAATATAGAAAAAAAGAAAGAAAAAAAAAAAC